CCCCCCACCCCCAACAGGCGACTGCCCACCTAGGCCTTTCCATCGCCTGCTATGTCCCTGCTCGTCCCTTCGCCCGACCTACCACTGCTCCCCTCCGTCTGAAATCGCTGCAGAGAGCCCTCTCCTTCAAAGCGCGCCCCTAAACACAAATGCATCTTCAGATTTCGAACCTAATGGCTGCTCACAAACAATACACCCCCCTTTCCGGTCGCAGTGACTTGGTGCCCCCTACCCTCCCTCCCCCCCCCCCCCCCCCCCCAATAATTTTTCATGTAGATAACTTAGTAAGGGGGATAAGGTGCTAAGAGTGCAACCCCCCTGAAGCACTGCAGCTTAGCCAGGTGACCCTGAACGTGGGCGAAGGAGGGGGCACCCTCCCACCTCCAACACACACCCTCCTGTATTTACTGACACCAAGTGACCGCTCTCCAATCGCTATGACCAGGGGAGGAAGAGTGGCGCGTGTGGAAGGCAGCTGGGGAAGCTGTTGGCTGCGGGTTGCTAGGCAAAAATAAACATCAGAGACACCTCCCATTTCCTTACAACTCCGAGCCTTTCCCTTGAGCGGCCACTGGGAGAGACACACCTTCCTGTAAGCTCTTGGGCATAAGGGAGAGAACCGACTGCTGGAGACCTTGGAGGACAGAGTGGAACTACCCTGGGAGGCTTCCCAGCCTTCACAAAGGCACATCTTTCCCCTCTAGCTGCAACCTGCCCACCTTCCGGTACCACTAAACGCTGCGATCTGAATCCTCTCATCCCCAGATAGGAGTCTCTTCTTTCCTGCTTGGACACAGTGAGAATTTCCCTGGTCTCATGGTTTGGCATCTACCACCCTCTGTCCCTTGAAAATGGGAAAGCCCTCATTCGTATCACACCTGCATGCCCACCGTGCTTGGCACACACCTTTGTCCAAAGGTCTCTTTCAATAGTTAGGAGAGAGGGAGAAATTCCCGATGACCAGGCGGAATATTGTGCCTTGCACATTTCCTCCTGAGAGGCGCCCTGTTGCTGAAATTCTTCTGGGAACATGCCTCCATTCTGATCCGTCCCATTTTGCATCTGTGGACCTGTTCAGGAGCCAAGTATACAGACCCCCACAGGGAGTGCAGTCTCAAATCAAATCGGAAGAGAGCCACCTCTTGCTGGAATCCCATCCATCCTGCTGTTTGCAAATTGTCATAGCAACCTCCTGAAATGATCACCCGACATGTTTGGAGAGTCCAAGCTACATCTTATGTCTCCACCCTTCCGTTTCATACTATAGTCAAACACTGAGCATTTCAAGGTTGAGTGTGGCTCTCTCTTGGGCTCCTCAGGGCCAGATGGGGAGGGGACTTTGCTAGAGATAGCCTGTGGCAAAGAGAAGAATTATACCCAGGTACATATCTGAAAAAGAACATGGGGGAAAAAATCTGTAGGTGACTTCCAATAAAACAAAGGTGTCTGGGCACTATGGTTAAGTACAATGGCTAAGCTGCTAACCAAAAGATGGTTGTGAGAGACCACTAGCCTGTGTTGCAGGAGAAAAGACCAGTCACCGGCACCCATAAAGATCACAGCCTATAGGAAACCATATGAGGCAGTTCTGTTCTGTCTTGTGGCGTCACTGTGCATCCCAGTCAACTGAAGAGCACACACCAACAATGAAACAGTATTACCACAGTTCGACAATCGGTCCAGCGACAAGCCAGTGGAAGAATCAAGGCCTGATCTGGCCCCACCAAGAAAGATTCTGCTAACCTTGCCTTTCCCAAGACTACCACATTCAAATCCAATTGGGACACTGTATTTTGGGTTCAGAAGAATAAACTAAAATTTTAAAAACACCTTAGTAACTAGAGACCACATTGCCTGAGTTCTAGTCCAGTTTCACGCATTAGAACAATTGTGAGGACGACACAGGAACCGGCAGTGTTTTGTTCTGGGAACTGATTCGTTAGCACCTAACAGTACCAGACTAATTTCACTCTTCTTCCTGGTGGGGGCGGAGGGATTATGCCTGGGGCTGCCTTCTACAAGGGGGTCGGTTAGAAACCACCAACCCCTCCACAGGAAGAAGACAGGGCCTTTGCCTCTCAGAAACTCAGGGAGGCGGTTCTACCCTGTGCCCTAGTGTCATTCTGAGTTGGCATTCACTCGATGGCAGTGAATTGTTTGTTTGTTGGACTGGTTTTTCAATGACTGCACCATGGATAGTTCAGACGCTTTTCCCTCTTTTAAGGTGATTATTTCCATACCTTTTTACTTTTTAAAAACGTGTACTTCATAACACTTGCGTTCAAAAAGAATGTGAAGCAAAAACAAAAGACAAGTTTAATACAGTCTTGCACCTCTTTTCACTTAAAATAAAATATGTTAGTAAGAACTAAGCATGATGCTTTCATGATTTAACAAAATTCTAAATAGTGAACTCATAGTTCATGATTGATAAATGGTTAACATCAGTTTACGCCTTAAATATGTGAAAAGAACCACTGAATGTTTTACAACAAAGAGAAACAGAAAATAATTCATTTTAAGCTATAAAAGTAAAAATACATAGCTCAAGAACATCTGTTAGTATATTATTTGATACAACAATTACCTATGAAAAGATGATTGTTTCAATTTTGTAATGTTTACTTAAAAAAATTCACAATTTATTCAATCTCGAACTAATTCAATTTCAAATGAAAATCTATGGAACACTATATTAATTCTTGTAAACCTTCAAAATGGTATTTACAATTACTTGCAAGGCTCTGATTCTGTTAAATATTGGTAATCTTATGCCTGACAGAAGGTCAAACAGAAAGATTCACAATTCACTCTTTTGGCTTTTAGGAAGAAGAAAATTCCAAAAAAAACAAACTCACTGCCATCGAGTCGATTCTGGTTCAGGGTGACAGGGTAAGGAAATAGGATAAGGTGGGAGAAACCATAGTGCATTCTGACAAGTATAAGCAATTCCAAAGAGAGGTACTTATGGATGGCAGGGAGGGTGCTGTCAGTTCTGAGTCATAGCAACCTTATATACGTGGGAGCACCCCCTCCCCCCCAAAAAATACATAAATAAAATCAGATGTGATATGAGGGAGATAGTGCATTTGGAATTCATTCCATCAGGTCACACTGTTAATCAGGCTTTCTATTTAGAGGTTCTGAAAAGATTGCCTAACAGTGTGTGACAAAAAAGGCTGGATTTGTGGCAGACGGGGGACTGCTTTTGCCACCATAACAATGCACTTGCTCACGCAGCCATCTCAGTGTGCCAGTTTTTGGCAAAAACAAAGCACAGCATGTCTCTCTTCCTCCACACACTTTACTCACCTGACCTCACTCCGTGCAACTTCTTTTTGTTTCCATGAAGGAAGAGGGAATTGAAAGAAAAGTAATTTGACGACATAGAAGAGGTGAAGTTAAAAAGGAGGGAGGTGCAGTCAGCCATCTAAACAGATGAGTTTGAAAATGGTTTCCAAGAGTGGAATCACAGATTTGACAAATGTATTAAGTGTAATGGAGAGTGCATCGAAGGTGATAAGGTGTTTTGTAAAAAGGATTTGAATA